AACTTTTATTAATTTGAATTTTTGGTCTTTCACATCCACTGGAATACAGGAAACCTACCAGGGGCCATGCACCAAAGACAAAATACTTGCACCGCTGTCAGCAGTCATCAGGCACAATTAGGTCCTCAGCGAGGGGTGGGGTGGGGGGCTATGAGGCCTGTTGAATGACTTGATGTTGAATGACTTGATGTTGTGAAAGTCTTATGCTGGTAACTTACATCAATTGCAAGTTCTACTTCCGCAGAGTCACACAACAAAGAAATGGTGGATCTGGACTTAAAACCAAGGTATTTCAGACTTTGAGTAGCATACCTTTCATGGAAGCATTCACAGTCAAGTGACAACAACCTCAGGGCAAGGGAAAACAAAACATGTAATGAAATCTTTGATGTGGGTGACCTGTAGCAGCATGAGACCCTCAGTTTTGTTTGTTTTGGTTTCATTTCCACTTCTTCTACAACAGGCTAGTTGAAGCTATAATAAAAGAAATCTAACAGAATGTAGGCAAGGATCCTTTAAGAATTTAAAGAAGGGTGTTATGAAAAATCTTTCCACCAAAAGCTGCCTGAGCCCCACCACCACATGTAAGCTATCAGAGACCCAAAAGGGCAGGCTGTGGCCACAGGTTTCCCTCTTTTTCTGGAAACCTTGGGACATGGGGTAATCCCACTTCTGACACCAGATATAGTGGGAAATTACCAATACAGAGCCAAGTGGAAATATAAGGGTATTTAATAGAGAAAAGCCTTACTTCCAGAGCACCCTAGCCAGCCGGCGTGGCAGCGGTCTGTCCAGCAAGTACCAAAGTGAAACCGAAAGAACAACTGCAGTCACACTACGTCACCCTGACCATGCCCTCACAAGCGTGGTCAGGCACACCTGTAGCCAACCCCTAAGTAGGTGTGGCTACAGCTTCCCCTACAGAAGGGCATCAGTATCTGTAGGCACCCCTGGTATGACCATGAGGAGATATTCCTTGTGGAAAATTGTACCCTAGAGACACCCTTGCTACCAATTCACCTGAGACCTTAGGCAAGTCAGCCAGTATCTCCAAGCTTCTCTGAGTAGATTCTAAAATGAAGAGAGTGATGATACAACTTCACAAACTTAGCACCAAAATCTTCTTCCAAGATGCACACAAGATTATTCTCTGGTTATTGGAAGCCCCAGTGAGAGCTAAGCCCATGCTTAAGTTTGCACTTGTAGTACTATCTCTGAGTCCAAGACTTAAGACGCCAATCCTGGAAGTTCATAAGATACTGTAGCCTTAGTCCAAGACTGGTTATCTGGGATGAAGAGAAGGACACATAAGTATTGTGAATGAGCCTGGATGGTGCTGGATGTACACCTGCTATTCAGTGGAAATATTATTTTGGGGCACACAATTCCCTCTGGTGCATAATTGCAAATTTGCTGCCACCTCAGAAGTCAAATGAGGGTTTTGTCTCTGAGGAAAAAAAACCATTCACACTTGATTTAATCTGTCACAAAAATTATATCATATAGCACTCCAAAGGATATCATTAAGTGGGTGTATCTACAAAAGACAAAAATATGAAAATGAAGGTAAAGTAAGGCTACCTGTTGATATGGTAGATCTAAAATTCAGAACTAGACCTAGTTACAAAGAACATACTTGCCCTCTCTATCATTCTTGTTGAATTCAGGTGACAAGGGAGATGGTATCATTAACTATTATTGGTGAGGTGGGCCTGGATAAGAAGTAGATGCGTAAGGTATATTAAAGTAAAGAAGACTGTAAGAGTGCAGTGATCCAAGAGCCTTTAAACTCTAGCAAATGTTTTGAGCGATATCCAAAGTTGACAGCAGTGTTCTTGAGCTAACTGAAGATGTCTCTTTATGGATATGGCATAGTGTGGTGATCTTTAATGAGGTAGTGATGGGTACCTTGTATCATATAGATAATGCCAAGCAGAAGCTGCCCCACCAGAACTTGAAGCTGAGATTGGGAAAACATTGGGAGATTGTGGTTATTTTATATTTTACAGTAACAGCCATTGACCAAAAATTAAAACAGTTGGAAAAAAAATCACTTACTTAGAATATCATTAAGTCAGAGAAAAATTATGGACAAACTACCAATACAGGCAGGACAGTTTTGAATTTCCTCCTTTGCTGAGAAGTCTGCCAGACACTCTAGGTCTTTAAACTGAAGATGGATGTCCCAAAATCACAGATGAACTTTGGGTGACTGTCCAGGCAATGACAAATGTCTCTGTCAATTCTAGAGTTTATATGTTATCCTTCTGAGGTCTTTGATGGAGTTGAAGATAGTTATGGTTATGGTATTAGTTATGATAAAAGATGAGTTACACATAAAACTTTAGACTCAGAAAGATAGGATTGATGCAAAATATTGTAACTATTATTCTTACTTGATGAATGTTTTGGTATATATAATTTTACTATGCTAAACTTAAAGCATTCAGTTTTGTTTAAACAGAAAAAAGGAGATAGTGGTGGATATCCTTCTGTAAGTTGTTAATATATGTTTCTCTTATTGGTTGATGAATAAAACATTGATTTGCCAGTAGCCAGGCACGAAGTATAGGCAGGGCTACTAGATGAGGAGAATTCTGGGGAGAGGAGACAGAGAGAAGTGGCCAGAGAGAGATGCCATGTACCTATGGGGAAGATGGGATGCATGGAGTATTCTCTGGTAAGATAAGGCCATATAGAAATACATAGATTAATAGTTATGGGTTAATAATTAAGAGAGAGCTAGACAGTAAGAAGCCTAAGCCATCAGCCAAATAGGCTAATCAGCTATTGGACCAGGTGGGACAGAAACTACATCTACCAATATGATCACAATAAAACAATACAGGAACAGCCATGCATTGCTGTGCTGGGTGTTGACTTTCCTCAAAACCAGTTCCAGGAACAAAGATAATTCTTTGCATAAGGAATGTGCCTCTTTCCAGCTCTTTCTTCTTGAGTAGGACCAATCTTTCTTTTGACATTGGCATGAAAACCTATACCCCCACCTGGTAGTTGTGTGCTCTGGTTCTGTTATGAAATGTGGCTTTTTGCTAAGGTATCATGTGACGAGTTTTCAGCTTTCTTCCTGTCACTCACCTCCAAGGCACCTTTCTTGATATCTTTAGGAAGCATCCCTTCCCTAACTTCCAAACCAGTGTATATCATCTGAACTATGTTGTCTCAATGTCTAGTGCCCACCACTGTTATGAGATAATGTTAACCACATCAGTAACTCCCCCTACTTCCTAGACAATTTTCTCTGTCCAGACATGGTATGAACCATATTTGTTTTTCCTGTTTCTGTGCTAAGTTCAAGTCCATACGTAACACCCGGCTAACTCCTCAGTGCATAGATTAGGAAGAGAGTGATACAATATTAAGAATTAATATATTATCCTAGGCCAAAGTGTGATGGCGATTTGGGGAGAACTTGCCTTATTGATGATATCTAGAGATTTCCCATCCTTGGTTTTGGAATGTGTAGATGATTCAACTGTAAGCCAAGTCCAGTGGTCAGAATTTGACTATTCACTTTGATTCTAACATCTATCATTCTTTCATTGACATCCAAACACAAATATACTGCCAGAACAAAGGGTTCTAGATTCTCCCTGCATGCCATGCATATTTTGCCCTACCACAAGTGTCCACAAAACTCCTTAAAAATATCTACTCATCCACAACAGTAAACAATCAAAAGAAAAAACTCAATATGCACAGTTTAATCTAGTTACACCTTATATGTTCACATTGGTATTTATAAACTCCAGTCATCCAGCAAAACAACCATGTATAATATTTCTTTTTGAACAATTAGTTTTGGTTTTTATGGTCTTGGATTTTTTGTTATTATTTTTTTATTTGTTTATTTTGTTTCTGCACTTTTTCTAAATCATTTAAGGGGATACACATTTTTGTTCAACAGAATAAATGCCTTATTTCTAGGTGGTCCATATACAATACTAGACATGCCCTAGTGTGTAAGGTTGTCAAAAGGTTTCTGTTCCTTGGTTTATGAGGCCCAGCTCTACTTCTTTTTGAGGTTCCCTGGATTTGTGGCTTTGTGTGATGGTGTCAAAAGGGACTTTGTGATGATATTAAAAAGTTCCCTCTAGGATATTTGTTAGTAGTCAATGAGCCCCCCTTGCTGCTGTCCCTCACAATTCATATGAAGAAAGGACACTCTATCAGCATGCACATGCTGATTTTCATGGCTTAAAGTCCAGAGTCTCCTCAACATCTTTTATTTTCTCATGTAAATCAAATGTTTCATTCCTAATGAATGATATATACATGAGCTGTCTAGGGGACATGCATTCAGACCTGAAAAAGTAAATCATCAAATTGAAGAAACAAGAGGCACAGTCCTCACCATCAGCAGTATAAACTGCCTTGTTGCTTGGATTCTTCTCTCCTCCTCCTCTCCACTACTCTTCTCTCTCTACCCCAAAGCCAGATGATGGATCAAATATTAGTTAGAAGCATCAACACCTAACACGTCTATGCTTTTGGAACACCAGGGAAAAGAAAAGCGAATTTCAGAGACAAGGTAACTGCAGTGAATAATGATACTAAACTGGTATAGAAGCTTGGAGGCTACCACTTGTCAGATGAATGTTAGGGAGGTTTAAGGAAGGCATGCAAGTAATTCCCATGGCATGCTTACACTCAAATAGTACTGTGGACACAGAATTGTAGAGCTCCAAGGAGATCAGGAATTCTATGAGTGTGGAAGAGCAGAAAACCATAATACTGAAAAAAATCAACTTGTACTACAATGAGGCACACAATTAGGTTAGTTATACTTGGAGAAAGGGTTAGGAATAATCAACAACTCTACGGGCACTCCTTGTACCCCAGACCATCAAGGGCTTGATTTCCTCAGTTATGCTATTCAGTACATTACTATCATGTGTAGTACCTTGCATATGTCTTCCAAATAAGCTCCAGCATATACATCAATTACACTAGAAAGAATTAAAGTGACAAGTGAAGGATCTATTCAATGGATCTATATATTTTAAAAATACAGAAATACAAATAACTAAATTAAGGGGTAGAAAAGAAGAAATGACTTCAAAAGTGATTTTCCTGATTCTCCATGACAATCTGTTGAATGCAGAGTGTCTATAATCCTCATAGAAGCATGGAGGCTGCTCCTGATTTGGTAGCACCCCATCTTTCCAGCAATGACAATAGCCTTACTTCCTTCTTTGAAACCAGCTATTCCAGCCATGGAGCCTCCATTATGTACTTCCTACTTCACCTTCTTTCCTCTCACCTGCACTTGGCCATCTTCATGACTCCTTTTCAATGTTACATCCTCAAGTAATCCTGTCCTGAGTTCTCTGTTTAAATTAGGAGTCTGCTGTTATTTTCCACAATCAACTGCCTTTTATGTCTTAATAGATATGTCAAATATAGTGGTCTCTTGAGAAAACTAAGTTGGGTTTAATGAATTTTCTTCCCCTGAACTTATGTTCTGTGAACAGCTGGCTACTCATGCTGGGACAGGACCTTTCAGAACATTTCTGATGAACTTTGAACTCCTCTGCCAAGGCTGGTGGCACAAATGTTCCCTAGAGGGAAGACAAAAGAAAAAAAGAGCCCATTACTTAGAACACAAACCACCACCTCCTATGAGATCAGTGGTCCAAGATTCCATAACTGGCTTATTCTCACATGAAAGGACAAGCTTTGTCAACTTAATCCAAGCCAGAATCCCTGGGAAGAAGTTCAGGGACTGTTAACCTTGGTTGGCTTGTCTGGGTGGTTGTTTTGATTGTGTTAATTGATATAAGAAGACCTACCACTGTATATCTTTAATGGGTAGAAAATTCTCGAGGAATATCAGGCATGTTGTGCAGTACTCAATAGGCTTTGAACAGTACTGTTGCTGTTAATTTTACTGTTATATCTTATGGTTGGAATAAAACCAAGTCACCATGGCCTGGTGTAAGCCTCCATGGTTTTCTCTCAATTAATGTCAATGGACTGACTTCTATTACAGACCAGGCTTTTCCATAGAGTCAAACCAATAAAAGGAAAAAAAGAACTTTAGAACACAATAATGGAAGACTTTGACCTGATTCCTCACCACTATCTTCCCACAGAAAAGATAGCTTTCTTGGATGTTATCCCTTAGAACCCCATTTTCTCCAGATGGAGGGACACTCATATTTGCTTAGATTAAGCCTGAACTCAGAAAACAAACCCATTCAAGTTCATTTCCTGGTGCTACAAACTAAATCCTACCTGGCTTTTGTTTCCCAGGAGGCCTTTGCTTGTGATAAGAGGGAACTCACAGCTCTGTTTTATCTTTAACTTTCCATGTCTCAAACTGCCAGATTAATTTTCAGACTCATCAACCCACATCCTGGGTACCCAACCTTGATATGTGGAAGGACTGCTGATCCCTGATTGGAAAAGAGTAGTAGTCCATCACTTGGTTCCAGCATAAGATGGCCTAATGGACACTCTTAAATCTTCTTGGACTCACAGGTATGTGAAATAGATGCCACAAAAGCAAAGGGCGTATATCCATACTCACTCACTTGACACTTCCTAACCAAGTTTGGTGGTGTTTTTGGATAACCATTAGAAGAAAGAACAATGGCATATCCTTCCAAGGAGATTGACGTGGAAGGGAGCCCTGAGCCCTCAATAGAATAGAGTCCATAGCTTCATTTCAGGTATGTTGAATGCTGATTACTCCTGTGTAAAATGAAAAGATAACATGTGACAATAAGATTTAGATAAAATGTTAGCAAACTCCTAGGATACAGCAGAGGATAAGCCCAGCCTGAATACTTCTTATTGCTTTCCTTTCTCCCTCTTTACTTTTCAATTCCACATCATTTGGCAGAGCTGTTTACAGATGCATGGTGAGAAGCAGGATGAGTGGGTATAGATATCTAAGATAGTGGATGGTTGTACTGTTACCTTTTATATCACTGTGACAAAATACCTTAAATAGAACTTAAGGGAGGAAGGATTTGATTGTGTCCACAGTGTTAGTTTGGGTCCAGTGCAGCAAAGGAAGCATAGAGGAACCCATGACAGAGAAAGTGTAAGGAGGCAGATGCTTGCTCATATGGCTGCAGACAGAAGCAGGGAGCTAAATGGAATCCCTTCAAAGACTGGCCTAAAGAGACATACTCCCATCCAGGCTTATAAATAGTTCTGTAAGCTTGAGTCAGAGCACCCTAAACATGATTGCATTAGGTACATTCCCAATTTAAGCCATAACCTTGAACATATGGATGGATGGATGGATGGATGGATGGATGGATGGATGGATGGATGGATGGATGGATGGGTGGATGGATAAATATAGGTATGGACAGATAATCTCCCACTGAAGGTAATTTTGTGGCCAAGCAGAGGCTTAAGTTTAAATATGTGAGAAAGCACAGGCTTCACAGTGATTGTACGCAGAGCTGCCACTCAGAGGTACCAGTTGTTGGTGTTCCCTTGCACCCACTATAGAAAAGCCAAGTGGAAGATGAGGGCATATAACAGCCACATAGCAATGTATACACACTTCTCCCTTATTCAGAAACATCTCCCCTTAGGTAGATCTACCATTGCCTTTACGTTATGACAGAGGAGCAGCAGTCACTTGACCAAGTATGTTTGTATTCTTCAGTCTTAGCACAGGTCCTAGACACAAAATGTGACACCATAGCCTGAGTCCCAGCCACTGATCAAACCTTTCTATATTCACTTAATATGTTGTGTGTATTTCAAATTAGAATATGCTACACAAAGTACTGATTCACCTTTGTCAACATTCCTGTCTTCAGTATTCAAAGGAAGGCAGCTGGACAAGTTGAAGACATTGTGCCTGCCACCCCAGCCCTCTAATCAAACCTAATATAGTTCAGCTTTTGCAAACAGATCAAACTGATGGGAAAGCTGGAAACATGAGGGTGACATAGCCACTGCTGTTGATGTGGTTGGTATTCAGAACTGTTAGCAGGTACACATACCAGAGAGAGAGAGATGGGGAGAGAGAGACAGAGACAGAGACAGAGACAGAGACAGAGACACAGTGAGGGTAACATAGCTACTGCTGTTGATGCGGACCTCAGAACTGTTAGCAGGTGCATATACCACAGAGAGAGAGGGGGGTAACATAGCCACTGTTGTTGATGTGGGGTACAGAACTGTGAACAGGTGCATATACCACACACACACACACACACAGAGAGAGAGAGAGAGGGGGGAGGGAGAGAGAGAGAGAAAGAGAGAGAGAGAGAGAGAGAGAGAGAGAGAACATATCATGGCAAATATTACTACAGGGAAATGCCCAAGAGAGGAGAGAGGAAATTCTAGCTTGCATTGAAGGGACTGAATTCCACTGAATTTGGGAAATGTCTGTAAGAGAAAAGGTCACAATTAGCAACCAGGAAATCTGAGGTACTGGGGGCGGGGATTCTTCTACTTGAAGTCTCAGTTAATTATGAAACCTGGGAAGTCATTGGTGCATAGATGACCTTTAACTTCATGAGAGTTAACTGAGCCTATCTGTTCACTCTGGCTGAAGGGTAGAATATAGGTTGGAAATATTAAACAATAGATATCAGTCCATTGCTCTAATTGTCATGAGTAATGCAGTCTTAAATCAGCGAAATGTTTCCCCATATTCAGTTAATAAACATGGTTCATATACCCTGGGAATATATGAATCAGGTCCCATCCAAGCTCTTAAACACTCCTCCTCTGTTCTTACCCTTCTTTTCCTCTGCTGTAGTCTCCAAACATTTAAGGCCCAAATCTAAAAAGTCATGTCAACTAAGGTGGGGAAAAGAGAAAAGGTTATTGGTTATTGTCAAATGTGCCTCATATTCATAGCTCAATATGTTTTAGTTTCTTTATGAATTCAATTCTCTGAATTAAGAGAGTACCAGAAGCTTTCTCAACTATAAATTAAGCATACTGTTTTCATTTCAGGACTATGTCCTGTGGCTCACCAAGTCATTGAAAGAAAAATCAGAAGAGAGTAAGCTTCCTATAAACATAAATCTAGCTTTTCAGAAGCCATTGCTTGGTGGAAACTGAAATTTGTAAGAGGTATTGTTTTTTGCACTGTTCAGTAGGTATCTTCATCATCATTCCCATCCAGATGGCATAGATAACCACACCCAATGAAGACATTTAAACATAAGCCTGCTATGTTTTAGATGGGCAATGACACTACCTACCAAAGTCCCTTCTCCACTCTCCAGTCAACTATACTCTAAGCCAAGTATGAGTACATCACTTCCTACATAAAGCACACTGCCAGTCAGCTTTCTGTCACTCTAATAAAATAATTGCGATAACAAACATATAAGAGAAAAGAGATATTTGGATAACACTCTCTAGAGGCTCCATTCTGAGTTCCATTGTCTGGGTTCTAGATGGCAGGGGGAACCTCATAAGACAGAAGTTTGTTCACCTCAGAGCCCAGGGAGTAAAAGTGAAAAGCCATGGCATGCTTGAGTCTCCATATCCTCTCTGCAAATGTACCCCAAGAAGCTACTCCTCAAAACTTCCTCTCAGTTCAGCAGTAACAGTAGTACCAACTGTGGTTGACTTCTTTTCTAATTTTCTCTGTTTTTGCAATAAACATCATGACCAAAAGTGCTTCCAGAGGAAAAGGTTTATTTGGCTTTCATGTTACAGTCCATTTTCAAGGGAAGAATGCCAAAACAGGAAGTCTGCAAGAGCTTGCAACAGAAATTGCCATGCAGGAATGCTTCTTACTGATTTGCTCCTAGAGTTGCATTCATTTTTTTTTCTTATCCAGCACAGGCCTACCTACCTAGGAATTATGGTACTGCCTACAGTGATCCAGGTCTTTCTATATATGTCATCATTTTAAAAATAAATTCCACGTACATGCCCACAGACCAACATAAAGAACCAATTCAATGAGATTCCATCCATTGAAGGGAGTTAAGTATCAAGTTTAAGGGAAAATAAATTTAACCAGCACAATGCCATTAACATGCAGATATTTGATAATCCAACCAAACCATACAAGACATTCCATCTTACTCACCCTGCACCAACAGGTGAGGTACAAGCCCCTTTATGTGCTTGCCTACCTCCTCCAGGAATTCTCTGTACTTCCTCTCATAAGTGACACCATGAACTTAAACACTATTCCCATAAACCCTCTCTGTTTTGACTATTACAGGTAGTAAATACCAGTGTGTGCGTGTCAGCCCTCCTCAGTCCATCATGACATTATCTTCTGCAGAACCAGTTCATATCTGTATGCACAGTTTAAAATCTGGTTTCTCACTCTAAACAAAGTGTTCTGATTTCATGAGGCCAAATTCAATAAAGCTTTGCTCCTCAAACTCTGGTCCATCTGAGCCCGCTTCTCTGCACCACCCCAATAGTTCTAGTCTAAACTATTTGCAAATGTTCCCTCTTTCAAATGTAGTTAAATCATGAATTTCTCTTTGAAATATGACTTTATCACCAACTTCACCAACAACAATATAAATAAGATTTGCTTTAGAGACACATATCTGTAAATTTATGTTCTGGCTTTTATGAGAAAAAAGGTGATGCTAACCCTTAGATGAAAATCACAATGCCTGATTAATTGATCCACAGGGCTGTTGATAGCATCTCAGGAGTGGGTGCAGTGAAGACGAAGGTACATGATCATGGCTTGGGCAATCTTTACTAGAGCCACAGTCACTGCATGATTTCAGCTAGGCTCATCAATATCCATGAACTGAGACATCTCAATCCAGATTCCAGCAGGCACCCTGCTGCAACCTGGTCCTTCTCTTCAGCTTTATTGCCTAATTCACCCAGCAGAGAATTGTTCTAAATTTACTCTTCCCCCTTGGCACAATGAAAAACACTAGTTTTCTCATTCTACTATCCCAGCATTCTTCAGCTTGTCCCTCTGAGCTGTCTGTACCTCCAAGAAAATGTTCCCACCCCAACTGTCATCATTTTTGTCTTCAAAGTGACATTTATGTAACCCACACAATCAAGCAGCTCTTACTATTTTGCAGTCCTCCATATCTATCAGATGCATCTCTAGCTCAAAGCAGGACACATGCCCATTACAATCAATCCTCCTGCAGCTTTCCCAGTCCCATTCCTTCTACTCTATCAAAAATACCACTTCTATGACATTCTCTTATACAGGGTGTATGGGCCCTTTCCATGTCTAGCACTTGTGACAATGTGTTCTCAAGGCTTGAGGTCCCCTTCCATTCTTACCTGGCTAGTGACATCCGCCATTCAAGTAGCATGTCTTGATACCCCCTGGGTGACTGGGTATCCCTGTTCACCTTCAACATTTTATCAATGCTACTGATTTATCTTTCTTGTCTGCATTCACAACTTGTTCTTTATTTTGAACAGAATCCCTAGGACACAGACTATATCAAATAACAGAAAATGTGATTTCTCCTACAAAAGAGAATTCACATCAAGTTGCTGGGCTTTCCACTGGCAAGAATGTCTTTTTCTGAGAAATTGCTAGTTGTGGGTATGAAACATTGCTTTAAATGCTGGGACAAAACCAGACTCAGAGCCTGAACAGGTCAGCAGGGATTTTACCCCTTGACAGTCTCCTGATGAAGATGCTTGGTTCAGAAATCAATGAGAACTACTGGTAGGTAACACTCTCTTGGCTAGCTATGCAAAACCTGAACCTTAGTGTTGCTGTGTACTGTATAAGTAT